AAATTTGGGGGGGGGGGGGGGGGGTCCCTCAGCTCAGTCTACAACAATGCCAGCATCCTGCGCCCCGCCCGGCCTCTGGCTGGAGGCCCGCCTACCCACCCTCCCTCCCTCCCTCCCCTCGGCTGCCGCTCCCCCCAGAGGGGCTGACAGGACCGAACACTCCAGTGGCGGGGCTGAGGGGACTGGGCGCCCCCATCTTTGTGACAGAGTGATGATTAATTTGCATATTACCCTTTTATTAGATAGGCTATATATAGAGAGATTATTATTACTATCTGGACATGGACAAGATTTTGAGAACAAAGCCTGCCACTTCGCAATTAAGTATCAACATGGTGTCTTCAGCGAGGGGAGCATACCCAGGGCCTTCTCCTCAGCCTTCAGGGCCTCGGTGGCTTTGTGCTGAGCTTCTGGTGGAGGATCTGCCACCTTTGAATCCACGCTTTTGGCACAAGCAGATTTGGATGATTCTGGTTCTGAAGATTTTTGGGACAATTGGAGCTGAATGGTAAACTTCTCATGCTAGAAAACATTGCAGTGAAACATCCATGAGTGAAACCAAACCTAGTAAACAGTAGGTTTACGAAAGAAATAAGAAAAAGCTTTTTACCTTTAGAGCTTCTTCAGGGACCCTCATCTCTCCTCGTACTACAGTGAAAAGATTTGTATGTGAACAGGGCTAAGGAAGAATACAACTTTGAAATTGTCCTATTTGAAACAGGGAATTCTAGCAAAATTAGTGTATCCCCCTAAGACTTAAATGTTAAAATATGCTCACAAATATAAAATTTTTCAATTTTAAATACCGAAGAAAATCTTGGTATCTAGCAAGTAATTCCACACTTTGGCAATAATGGCCTCCAAGCAATAACTGGGTAATGAATCTGAGCACAAAGGACATTTTCAGTTCTAACAATGGGACTGAAAAGAAGAAAGAGCACCTGGATCAAATCATATTGACAGCTAATCACAAACATGTAAAAGGAAGTAACTCATCAGTGATTACCCCGAGTAAATCCTGAAGGAATTCGATGACTCAGACTCTCAGCACTGATAAAAATACAGTTCATTTGAGAATGTAAAACAAGTGCTATAATTAGGGTCCTTACAGCAACCACAGCCATCTCTGAGCCCCGCGAATTGCCATAGGGTCAGGTTACATGATCAAACAACGGATTCTATACAGATCAGAAGCAAGTGCTGCATGTAATGAATGCTTTCATTATTATGCCCCAAAGAACAATGCCTCTGTATATTAAAAAGAGCTCCCACCACACAGTGGAGGTCACATTTCCCACCATTACTTAATCCTGTAATGAAAGGACTTTTATACCATGTGCGATACCAATTCACAGCACCCATGACTTCAAGGGTAGAAAGCTATAATCACCATGACTACTTGGGGGAAAATAAAGGCTTCCCATGCATTAGGAGCAGTACACTTGTAAGGGTATTTAACTTATATTTCTACTCATTCAAATAATAAAAACTCAGAATTTTTTTAGAGTTGTAAAGAGCTTTGGGGAGTCTACTCTTCATTTCCATTACCCGGCTTCCTATTCCATAGTGAAGGAACTTGAGATTGGAGGGGCAGACCCCAATGACAATACTCTACTCACCTGATCCCAGGCTGGGGCTTCCCTCTCACTTTACACTGCTCCCTGTAGCTGTGAAATATTAAGATTTTCCCTTTTCTGTTATGAACACATGCTGGTACATATTTGCTGGTATAGATGCAAGCGTGTATTTCATAACTAAGTACACTTAATGAAAAATAAAAGTCAAGTAGTTTAGCTTTACTCCCAAGAAACTCATTAACAGCTGGAGAAGATGCAGAGCATTCTTACATTTACAATGGAAAACAGAGCATCTTTTACAAGTTGAAAGCTACTTCTATTTTTTATTTTTATTGATTTGAGAGAGAGAAAAAGGGAGAGGGAAAGGGAAACATTGATGCGAGGGTGAAACATCGACTGGTTGCCTCCTGTACGTACCCCAACTGGGGATTGAACCCACAACCTGGGTATGTGCCCTGACAGGGAATTGAACGGGCAACCTTGCAGTGCACCTGATGACGCTCAACCAACTGAGCCACACAGGCCAGGGTCATGTCTATTTTTCCAATGGGAAACACCAATGATTTTAGCCAGCTGTGAGGGTTTTCTGGTGCTTCCAGGTAGCTCCTTTTTGAAGGCTATTCCCTGAGGCTAGCCTGGAGTATCACCTTTAGACTGAGACTCTAAGATCAGGGAAAACTTGAGACAGGTCTTGGACTTCACCTACCAAAAAGATTTCTGCGTGTTGGCCTACCAAAGAACTCAGGAATCCTCTTGTTTAGTTCATGAGTTTCCTGAGGACTCTGGTATGACTATGAGATTCTGAGGCTGCCCTTGCCCCAGATTTTATCTCCAAAGCTACCATTTTTCTTGTGGTAGAGACCTAAGTGACTGTTCTTGCTGCTTAAGAAAAATGACAAACTAAGGTACAATTACTTATGATGTCAGTAAGTTACAAAATAAACAATAGCGTATAGAGTCATATATCAATTATATCTCAATTTGTAAAAATAAACTTACAAAAATTTTAATTCTTGTTTCTTAAAAATCCTAATATTGATAGGTTAATTCCCCATTTCCTTACATATGATTGTAATTTTAATCATTCCTATGTTCAATTTATTCAGGAAATGTTTATCTAAAAGTGGCATCATGGCAACTCATCTACATCTACTAGTAATGTGACCTCTGACACCATCCTTTAACTTAATGATAATTAAGACCAGAATGAGAGCAAAATTTTCTATCGTTTCAGTTGCTCCTAGGGGCCTGGACTTAAAACACCAGGGGCAGAAATCATTGTGAGCACATCTTCCAAAAGTATTTTAAAAATTAAGTCAGTAAGTTGTTTCACTGGGGAAATACCAATCACAGAAGAAATGGGGGAAGTTTTAAAAAATTTCCCAAATATTACACAATGAGACTTTGTTACTTGAGACATTTCCAGTGTTTCAGAAAATGTTGCATTCGAAAACAACTGAAATGGGTATTAATATTCTCTTAAAAACTGTGCTATAGCCGTAACCGGTTTGGCTCAGTGGATAGAGCGTCGGCCTGTGGACTGAAAGGTCCCAGGTTCGATTTCGGTCAAGGGCATGTACCTTGGTTGCGGGCACATCCCCAGTAGGGGGTGTGCAGGAGGCAGCTGATTGATGTCTCTCTCTCATCGATGTTTCTGACTCTCTATCCCTCTCCCTTCCTCTCTGTAAAAAATCAATAAAATATATTTAAAAAAACAAAAAAAACACTGTGCTATAGCCTTAACCGGTTTGGCTCAGTGGATAGAGCGTCGGCCTGTGGACTGAAAGGTCCCAGGTTCGATTTCGGTCAAGGGCATGTACCTTGGTTGCGGGCACATCCCCAGTAGGGAGTGTGCAGGAGGCAGCTGATCGATGTTTCTCTCTCATCGATGTTTCTGACTCTCTATCCCTCTCCCTTCCTCTCTGTAAAAAAATCAATAAAATATATTTTTAAAAAAACAACAACAAAAAACTGTGCTATATTACTAAAATATGTCACTCGCATGGTGTTGAAGACACTGATAAATGAGAATGTTTGAATACAGTAATTTTAAACAATGAAAGAATGGGAATAAAGTACTTTTTTTCTAAATTTATATATTTTTATGATTTAAAAATACACATATAAGGTTATTCTTAAAAATTCTCCTTAAAGTTAGCCAAAAACTTTTTCTTTCAAATCTTCTCATTGGGAAAATTCCCTATTTGATATCTGATCATGAAATATACAATTATGCTACATTAGGGTCCACAGTATACTAAGATCCTAAAAGATACCCACGGAATTTGTTATGGCAGCCTGGCCAGTGTTGCTCAGTGGTTAAGCATCAATCCAGGAACAAAGAGGTCACTAGTTCATTCCTGGTCAGGGCACATGTCTGGGTTGCAGGCTTGATCCCCAGTAGGGGGACGTGCAGGAAGCAACCAATCAATGTTTCTATCTCTCTATCCTTTTGCCTTTCTCTCTCTCTCTAAAAATCACTAAAAACATATTTAAAAAATAAACAAACAGAAAAACAAATTTAAAAAAGTTATGTCAGAAAACCATTCAAGGGAAAAATTTTAATCTATTAATTTTGTCTACATCTTTGGAAAAATATGCATTTTACCTTAGCAGATGAATACCTTGTTCAACTTGCAGAAGACCCTGCTCTATAGGAACAGTGTTTAAACAACCGATTTTAACTTTTCTTCTATTCTTCTAGGCTTCATTCTTTTATCAAATAGCTTATATGAATTTCTTAAATTTAGTTCTTTTGAGCTTTGAAAATACCCTTGATTTTTAAAATTTGAAAAGTGGCCCCAACTGGTTTGGCTCAGTGGATAGAGCAACAGTCTGCAGACTGAAGGGTCCCACGTTCAATTCTAGTCAAGAGCACATGCCCGAGCTGTGGGCTTGATCCCCAGCGGGGTTGCGAGCAAGAGGCAGCTGATCAATGACTCTTTCTCATCATTGATATTTCTCTCTCTCTCTCTCCCTCTTTGAAATCAATAAAGAATATATATATTTTAAAAAGTTAAAATAAATCAAAATTTGAAGTGTGTTCTTGTTTTTTTTATTGATATTAACCACATAAATCAGGAAAAATCTTCACGTCTCTGAAAAAAGAGTGAATTTTTAATTACGTTTATCCCCTCTAGATTATTTTAGCAGTCACCATCTAGACTGCCAAGCAAACTGCTCCAAGTATAGACAAGTCACGGTCACCACCCATATTTCCTATTTTCTCATGTTTTGAAATAGGTGGTGCCAAATAGTTTAGGAGGTACTTAAATACAATGTCCACTTGCATTTATTTTTTGATGAAACTTATTACGCTGGTGGAAAATGACCCATGAATAAAGGTTTTAATGCCAATTCTTAATCATTTTATGGGATATATATTTTCAAAAGGATTTAAAATATACAACTCAAAAGTGTTAATGTTGAATGGTTTCACTTTTCACATATTCCTTAGGCTCTACAAGTATAAAGGTTATGTGATGTGCTACAAAACTAGTTTTTCATCAAGTTTAAGTTAAATATAAAATAATAATTAGTTATGCTCTAAGAACGATTTTAAAGTGTTAATGCATTTACTTTATCTAAGTATAAATTCTACTTATCTGAGACTACATTTTCTCTGCAAGTGATAAAAATCCATCCAAGTAGCTAATATGTTGAATATATTCCTCAATATCAAATTCCAGGTAAAGGAAGTAATTGAAAAAATCAACACTCAAGAATAATACTCAGCACAATGTGGAATATCAGTAAGTCCTTTTTACAAAGCTTACTGCTTTGAATAGATGGACATGTTTTTCTTCTTCTTCAACCAATCATAACCCTTTTCTTTACTGGTGATTCTTTGCCCTAGTGTAGGCAGTAGGAGAGTCATGTCCCTGTTCAGTTCTTAGAATCCTATTTTTAAACAAAAGATTTTAAAATATACACTAAGTGGCCCAGCCAGTGTGGCTCAGTGGATGAGCATCAACCTATGAACCAGGAGGTCCCGGTTCAATTCCGGTCAGGGCACATGCCCGGGTTAAGGGCTCGATCCCCAGTAGGGGGCGTGCAGGAGGCAGCTGATCAATGATTCTCTGTCATCATTGATGTTTCTTATCTCTCTCTCCCTCTTCCCTTTCTCTCTGAAGTCAACACACATATTTAAAAAATAAAAAATAAAGAAGTAAAATAAAATACACATTAAGTGCATAATGTACCTAATCAGGGAGTGTGGGTCTTAGAAGACACAGTATATTAACAATTTTGAATTAACTAGGCAAAGAGATGAAATAAATAAAATGCAGTAAAAGTAGGAATGGAAGGCAAGGCAGGGTTAAATTTGTACATTCCTCCCAGAGGCTGATCTGTGCCATTATCATCCAACCAAAAAAAAAAAGGTCTCCGGGCTGGGCTAATATTAAACATCCCCCTGTCCTCTCCCCAGTCACATTCTTTGATATCCAAACTACATATGTAATAGCACTGCAGGGAGACCAACGTTAAAAATAGAGGGGTCCATCAAATTTTCCAGAATTATTTTTAGGAGCAGGCATAGCAACAAAATATATATACATATATATTATTTTTAAACGTGTATTTCAGTATGGGAAGGCACAAAGACTTCTAGCATGCCTGTACTGAGAATTTTTATGTCTCAAGAAATGTTAATGTACACCAGAGTAGAGATTTTGAATGAATTTAATAAATGCACAAAATCAGATAAGGATATCATATCCAAATCTCAGCTTATCTTCAAGTTTCAAGGTGATATAAGTCTGTTCTGGAATCCTTACATCATTCACAAAAGTCTACAAGGAAAAAAAACGAGATGTTAGGATACATATTGAAGCATTAATTACTACATTTCAGAAAAGCAAATACTCAAAACTCATACATAATATATGGTGGCTAATACAGTTTGTGTATCATAAAATGTGTCCTGCATCGCATACGCTGGTAAAATACTGCATACTAAGCCCTTTATCTCATGACTAGTAACAAAGAGAGAAGCAGGTCACAGCCTACGCCCACCAGGCTGCCAAGACAAATCTAACACCTAAAACAGCCAAGAAAAGCTCTAACCTGAAGCCGATAAGTTATAAAGGGTCCTGAACCCTCCACGTCATCAGAATGTACTGGACTCAGATAGTTTTTTTTTTTTTTTGACAATTCTAATTATTTCCAAGGATTGCCATTTCATTACTTTTATTCTTAGACTTTTTTGAAAGAACAAGAAGAAAATTTACTTTTTAAGAAAATGAAATAAAACTCATTCTGTTTTATAGTTGCGATGAGTCCTTTGGACCCTTTTGTGAATCAAATATACACATGAGATCTTAGTGATATATTTTTCCTGTATCATAAAACATTCTACTATTTCACTAGCCTGTAATTATTTCACCATTACACATCAATTTTTCTAACTATGCAGAAAGTGACCAAAACAAGAAAATAGAATAATGGAATTACCTAACATAAATACCATCCAACATAAATAGATTGCAAGCCACAGATGTACTGTTAAATGTTCTAGTAGGCACATTAATGAGGTAAAAAGAAAGAAGTAAAATTAACTTTAATAAATACTTTTTTCTGTTCTTTTTAAAAATTTATCTTTATTGTTGAAAGTATTACAGATGCCCCCCTATTTTTCCCATTGATCCCTTCCACCCCACACCCACTCCTCCCAGGCCTTTTAATTTGATCCATATGTCCAAAATAGTACCATTTCAACAAGTAATGAATATAAAAATTCATAAGATATTTTACATTCTTGTTTGTGTACTTCAGACTATTCACATTTTAAGTTCTCCACAGCCACATATGGTGAGTGGCGTGGTAATGAAAGGGGTGGCAGGATGATGCAATCATAAAATAAGTCATGATTTATTGCACCAACCCTCTGTTTTCTTACTGAGTTGCTCAAAATATTGCAACATCTTTCAAAAAAAATATAAAAGACATCTGGACAGTATCTTTGTCCTTTTTTTTTGTTTTGTTTAGTTATCAACTGAGAATTCAGAATTTTTCATTTAATGTCCATAAAGGAGAAAGCAGGAAACTATTTCACAATTATAAGACAAATTCAAAGAGAGAGACAGCAGAACTTTAGTCTATAACAACGATAAAACTGATAATAATGTAAGCAAACTATCAGACCACAAGTCTTCAGATGAAGACAATCCCAGGTGAATTTTCTCTAACGTAAAACTCTCTCTCACACAAGAAGAGACAAGACTGTTTCCAGGACAAAAAATATATAGGGTATTTTTCATCCAGTTAGCCATTCAATAAGAATCATGTAATATTTTTCAACAAAAACCTAACCTAAACTATTACATATTTTTAAGAAAGTTTTTGACTGGATTCACTCCTTTTCTGAAGCTTTTGTTCCAAAGCTTATTTGATTTATTTTTAAGTGGATAAATACTCAAGGAAGGTCTCTATATAAAGGTTATATCACAAGATTCAAGGAGAAGAAAAAAATCCAGTCAAAATACATGTTGCAATCTTTCCTTACCCTTTGCCACAGAATGGAGGGACCTGGAGAGCATTATGCTAAGCGAAACAAGCCAGTCAGAGAAAGGTAAGTATCACATGATCTCACTCATATGTGGAATCTAATGAACAAAATAAACTAATGAACAAGATAGATTTAGAGACACAGAAGCATGGAACGGACTGATGAATCTCAGAGGGAAGGCAGGGGTGGGGAGAGAAAAACCTGGGAACTTACTGCCTATATGCATAGCCCATGGACACAGACAACAGGGTGGTGAAGGCCGGGGAGGGGCAGGTGTGGGGTGGAGGGGGTCAATGGGGAAAAAAAGGGAACACCTGTAATACTTTCAACAATAAAGACAAATTAAAAAAAAAAGAAGTTGCGCTCTTTATTTCAAATACTGATAATTTGGAGGAAGTGAAATTCTGCTACAACTTGAGAGCACATCTAAGTGTGGTTGGTTTATGAGTAATCCTAAATCGTATGCTTCCAACATGCTTCACAGAAAGAAAATTAATACAAAGAAAAATCAAAGGCATCAGGCATTTAACACTCTAATTTCAGGTTCATTCCCAAAATGAATATTTTAGAGTGTTTTAAAACTTTTATCTTGAATATTCTATATATAAGTCAAAATATTCTATATATAACTGCAAAACAAAAAAGCTGAGAAAAATGACAGGAAAAGAGAAGAATAAAAGAAAAGGTTAATTCACGGGTGTGTAGTAAACAGGAGATAAACAATCAGGTGCACTGTGTAAGTGGAATGCCACAGTTTTAAGCCAATTTTATTTTTAAAATGTCTGAACCTAAAACACCATATTTACTTAAAATGCCTAAGATGACCTCTAAGATCCATTTTTAAAAATATTTTTATTGATTTCAGAGAGGAAGGGAAAGGAATAGAAAAACAGAAACATCAATGATGAGAGAGAATCATTTACCGGCTGCCCCCTGCATGCCCCACACTGGGGATAGAATCCACAACCAGGGCACATGCCCTGACCGGGAATTGAACTGTGACCTCTCAGTGCAACCAGAGCCACGCCGACCGGGCTATAAGATCCATTGTAAAGCTTAAGACTGCTCAACTCTCTTAGATATTAAGTACCTGTTGTGTGTTTAACACATGGACTGGGTCTTTCAGAGATCAACAAACATAATTGTATCATGCTGGCATTTATGACAGAAATATTCCCTAAGGTCTAAAGATGCTTAGGACATATGAGCCAGACACAAAATTCTAGCTTACAAAATGAAGTGGAAACGCCTGGGGGGAAATAGTCTCCTGAAGATCTAAAACTGTAAGAGGAGGAGAGACAATTTCAAAGAACAACACATCAAAAAATCATTTCATTAAAGCAATGCTAAAGCATGTTCACCAATAAGCCTGGAGGAAAAGAGGCTTGGTTATGCGCCATTTGATCAGACCTCTACCTGTAGGCAGGACAGAGGAGGACAATGAGGCACAGAGGTGAGGCAACACGGAGAGCTCCAAGTTCAGAAGGGGGACTGTGGACTTCAAATTCAGGTCTGAACTACAATCTCAGGTTCTCTCCACATCAAGGAAGCTGGGTGCCCAAGCCAGGCCAGCTCCCAAACTCCCCATGCAAACCACGAACCTCACAGAAGCAAACCGACCTATATAAATACCTATTTAATCTTCATGCAACTAAATTACATAATTGAGAGTATAAATCTTATAGCCATTATGTATTATATATATTTTAAATTTTAAAAATGTCTTACACTCAACCACTGAGCCACACTGGCTGGGCTTAGGGTAAAATTAAAGAGAGAAGAAGTGAAAGTGGTCACAGGTAGAGTGATTTAAAGCTTGAGTTTAGTTGGTAAATGCTTTTAAAAAAATACAACAGTGTATTTTAGAAAAGTATGTGGACTACAGGGTGCTTAATTTGTTTTAACTGTTTTTCTTACCATAACAACAACTAACACTTATAAATCCCGACTATTAAAAGTGGTTAAAATTATTAACTTATTTAGTGCTTCACAACAATCTGAGAACACTGCCAGTTTACTATTTCTATTTTAAAAAGTTGAGGAACAGAAGAATTAAGTAACCTGCCTAAGGTTACAGCACTTGTATGGTTTCGAGTGGGGCTCATAACCCCTACATGTATCCCCTTACTTCTGAAATGACTACTTTTAACCTAATGCTCACATTTCTAGAATTGTATGAATATTAAGAGTAAGTAGGCTGGAATACATAGTCACAAACCCAAACAGGCAGTCAAAATAAGGAGACAAAAAAACAACCCTCAAATGAAAGAACAAGAGAATTCTCCAGAAGAATAGATAAATGAAATGTAGATAAGAAATTTATCTGAAACAGAGTTCAGAGTAATGATGGCAAAGATGCTGAACAACATGAGAAAAGACAGAGTAACTATGAAAAAAGAGCAGTCGGAAATAAAGAATGACAGAGCACTAATGAAGAACACATTGGAAGGAATACACAGCAGATTAGGGGAAGCCTAGGATCGGATCAGTCAACTAGAAGACAGGGTAGAAAAAAAATCACTCAATCAGAGAACCAAAAAGAAAAGAAGTTATAAAAAAAAAAGAGTAAGTAGGCTGAACAACAGTCTACACATTCTCTTATGAATAAAATGGGTGACAGTTGGCAGTTCACAGACTTTGGCTATCAAAGGCAGTTCTGGTGTATTTCCTAGCTGTCACTAGGGTGACAGTACCTTTATCATTCATGGGATGCTTTGAGTTCTGTAACAGGCACATGCCCACATACAGTGCCACACTTAATCCTTTCAATACTAAAGAGAGGGAATGAATTCCTGTTTCACTGGTTTAAAACTGGATCAAGATAACTAAATTTTGCATTGAGTCTTCAAATTCATAAACGTTAACTCATTCCATTTCCATACAACTTTGGGAACTAATATGAATAGATATGAGGAAACTGAAGTTCGGACAGATTAAGTGGTTTGTCCCAGGTTAGACCACTGGTAAATTACAGACTGAGATTTAAACCCAGGTCCTGATTTCAAGTTCAACATGCAGACACTGCTCTCTGTGAGTTATTGTATTTCATAAAATTTTTCACTGTAATCAAATCATAAGAAAGACCAGCCTAGAGAAACTTAGAAGTTAATATTTCACCTGATTTTATAATCAACAGCAAATAATTTTTATATTTGGTCATAGTCTCATCAATTTCACTTCGATGTAATTCACACTTACTAATTTCCTAGATAATAATGTAACGACACCTTAGAACAGCACTGTGGTCAATATGAAACTTTCTAGACTTATACACAGAATGTGACATTATAAAAATATTCTACATACAGAACTAAATTCAAGTCTTAAAGTCCTTCATATAGAAAATTAACTCAATTCCATTAAAAGAAGACTTAGTGGGTTCATGCACCGTGCAGAGCCCTGAGCTGGGCTTTGCAAAATATTTATAAAAGCAAAGGACACACGAATGTTCAGGAGCTCAGAGTGCAGCACAGCAAGAGTGCAACATGAGGTGCAGAATCAAGCACCCCAAAGAGAGATACAAACCAAGGTTTACAGGTGCAGAGAAGGAAGACAGGAATGGAATTCTGCAGCCAGGAGCTGGAAATCAGAACCGCTTGCTTCCTGATATGCCTCATGTTAAAACAGCTTCTACCTGGTCTGCGTATCTCTTTCTACTTCAATCCATTCAACATGTTAACATCAGCCAGTTAATATTCCTAAATACCTTGTGTCTTTGCTTCCTTCATGAAAAAGTGGAATTTGGGGTTTGCTTTTTTTAAAAATATATATTTTTTTTATTGATTTCAGAGAGGAAGGGAAAGGGAGAGAGAGATAGAAACATCAATGATGAGAGAGAATTATTGATCAGCTACCTCCTGCATGACCCTTACTGGGGATCGAACCCACAACCGGGGCATGTGCCCTGATGGGGAATCGAACTGTAACTGCTCAACCACTGAGCCATGCTGGCCAGAATGAGTTTTACTTTTAAAAACAAGTACAAATTTTATAAATGACAAGGCAGATGGGAGAAGTACTAGGCTGAAGAAACTCTAACAAATTATTTGGATAGTAGGAGCTGCTGTTTGGAGGTATGGCAAGGGAAAGTGTGATAGAGCCTGACTTTGGAAATGTGGGCGATGCCAAATATGAGATATTTCAGTTCAAACCTGAAGAATGTACACTTAGTCCTATGTGCCACATGAAACAAAAAAAAAGGCTTGAGTAAAACCAACAGGAAGACACACTGACAAAAAAATTATCTCAGCCCTAGCTGGTTTGGTTCAGTGGATACAGCATCGGCCTGCGGAGTGCAGGTCCTGGGGTCGATTCCGGTCAAGGGCACATTCCCAGGTTGCAGGCTCAATCCCCAGTAGGGGGCGTGCAGGAGCAGTCGATCAATGATTCTCTCTCATCATTGATGTTTCTATCTCTCTCTCCCCTCTCCTTTCATCTCTGAAATCAATAAGAATATACTTACAAAAAAATTATCTCAAAGAATAAACACCAAAGTCCTTCCATAGCAGGCCAATTCAGAACAAGAAAACATGTTTTACCATATTTGCCAATTTTCTGCATATGTTTTTGCATATAAGTTTTATGTATGTTTTGAAAAGCAGTAGCAGTTAGAAGCAGTTGGGATACATTTACTTTCTGTTGCATTCATTTTAAGATATTCAATAGCACAGATATGAAGAATATTATATTTCCTTATGTTAGCAGAGCCCATAAGAAAATGGAGAAAAAAGCAGGATAAACTTCAATACTTCAGCTTTTTCTTATTCTGTGGCTATTTCTATTCTGCCAATGTAAAAAGATCAAATGAAGATTTAGGGGAAAAAATCACTGCAGTAACACAGAATATCTTCAAAGTAGAAATCAAAGCCACAATGAACACTGGTGTTCAGATCACATTCGTTCAGGTAAATGGATATGTTTCATTTCTCTCTGCTCTGGTATAGAAGGTCCTAAGTTTACCACCATCTAGCACCAAACCACATTTCCACCTTTCTTTTCTAAAGTTAACCCATACTTCTCTGTCTCCCAAGAATGCTTTTCTGCATTCTTACTGCCATGGCTTTCGATTGGTTTCCCACAAATAAATTCAAGCCATTCAGTGAGGTCAAACTTTCATCTCATGTCTCCAAAGATTTTCTTTAAAATGACAGATAATAACCAACAACTTTCTGAATCCTTGTGTTTACTGCTTTTATACCGTCTCTTGGGAAATAGGCTAGTTTTATATTCTATTGTATGGTCCCCAAATGCTTAGTAAGCATTTAAAAGTAAAATGTACCCAGCCAGTATGGCTCAGTGGTTGAGCTTCAACCTGTGAACCAGGAGGTCACGGTTTGATTCTAGGTCAGGGCACATGCCTGGGTTGTGGGCTCACTTACCCAGTAGGGGGTATGCAGGAGGCAACCGATCAATGATTCTCTCTCAGTATTGATGTTTTTATCTCACCCTCTCTGAAATCAATAAAAATATATTTTAAAAGGTAAAAAATAAAAGTAAAATGCAAACTAAAGGAAATACAATACAATACAATACAAATAGGAAATAGAATCTGATTTATCTTCTTACCACCTTAAACTGATAATCAAAAAGACCAAAAATAAACTCATCACTTACCCCGTTTAGGCTGCCCAGGTCTTTGACCAGATGTTCATCCGCGGAGGCATCGTAATTGATGACAGCGTGCTGCTTGTCCACACTACGAGACTGAAGGCATGGTTCAAAGTTAATAAATATAAGAAAATACCAGAATAAACAACAAGCACAAAGATTTTTTTTACTAGATACTCTATATTAATAGATTAGTAAAAATAGGGAAATATCATAGCAAAAGTGGATTAAATGGTATTTTATTGTGTCACTATAAAATGCACATTTGGCAGTTTCCCGAAGAGGAAAGCAGCCATAATTTTAAGACATTCTTTTCTACCAAATTCACACATTCTACTTTTGACAGAATTTAAGTCAGCTTTCTTGAATGTATGTTTTTTTTTTATAATTTAAAATTATAATATGGAAATCATGTGAATTATAGTTTTATGTTTTGCGTATACTGTAAAAATAAACTACCCTATAGCATTTTCTTCTTTTAATACTGAAAACGACAACATAAATTGTATAAGGAGTCCAAAGATTTAGAGAAAAGGGACACAATGCGGCATGTTCCTGAATAAAATTATCCTAACTTCAAACATGGATTCTAAACCTGGAATTCATAAATGAACTCTGAAAGGAGAAAGTCACAGAAAAGAATTCAAATGACAAACTGATTTTTAAAAATTGTCTTTAAGTCTCTTTAAAGTTCTTCCCTCCCCCTCCAGAGCTGTTTGCAGATGGAAGCACCTGAAAAATAAACTATAAGCCTGTGGAAACTTTTACTGAAAGGAAACAAATACCATACACTCACTGAAAGAAATGGTCTGAGAACCACTAAATCGGAACTCAATAACCATTTATCACAGGGTTACTAAGTGAACCTTGATATACTAGAAGCAAAAGAAGTATCCAAAATGGGGAGGAGAGGTCACTTCCGTGTCTCTAGTCCAATGTATAAAAGAGCTTGGAAGTCACTGCACCCATCCTCATAAGAAAAAAGCTGACCAAACTGAAAATCAAAATCTCATCTTATTTTCATCAGAGAATTGAGGTCATAAGCCCAACTGCCAACCTAAGACAGGCAAATACAGAGAGTCGCAGCCTACTGGAAGCAGAACCCATTACTCCAGGCAGCAAATAGTAGAAAACCTGAAGGTAACATGACTAATTGCTGCAGACTTGAGTGTGACATAGAGATGAAAACACCTAGGGGCATAGCCTGAAGGGGACATCACTTTTTCACTAGTTTTACCTCCAACAAGGATCTCATGGTGAAGATATAACGAGGTAGAAATACATCCACAGTATTCTGTTCTTACCAATGACATGCCCTCAAGGAAAACTACTTTATCAGACCTTAACCAACTTGAGTTTCAGCAGACTCTAACAGACATAGGGGGATGGAAATACCCACTCCTTCACAGGTGGGGGGTACCTATGAATGTCACAGCCCCACTAAAAGACTGAGAACTAAAAGTCATAGAATTTTATAGAATGCTTCCCCTTCCACCTAACCTTACCATCACATCAACAGGAATTTATATGTATACACATAAAAGCCTAATATGCTAAGTGTCCGACCTATCGGCTGACCATTTGGTTGACCGCTCGACCAGTTGCTATGACGTGCACTGACCACCAGGGGGCAGATGCTCCGACCGGTAGGTTAGCTGCTGCTGGGGTCTGGCCCATCAGGACTGAGCGAGATGGGCCAGGCACATCCTGGAGCCCTCCCGGGGTCCCTCCCCGACCGACCAGCTCCCATCGGCCCCAATTGAGACTGGGTGAGACAGCCCAGATCGGCCTGGATCACTGGCCAAGCCGAGGGACCCCCCCCCCCCCCCCCCGAATTCGTGCACAAGGCCCCTAGTATATACATAATAAGGGATTACAAATGGGAAAACAAACACACACCCAGACTATTGAAGGAGTCCCTAGGGAAATGCAAAAGACAACAGGGGAGAGAAAAACAAGAGCACTTAGGAAATGTTAACCTTTGACATTTTTAGTTAAAGCAAACAAACAGAACTTAACTCCAGCTACATATGGGGAACAGGCCAGCATCTAATAAAATAATTATACAGATGTAAATCCTAGTTGAAATGATCCTTTCCAAATACATATTACTAAAATTAAAAGCTTTTCCCCAATTAGCTTACATTCCACACTAAGAAAGTTTTGGTCCTTCCTTCTAGAATACAATACCTGTATATTCAAGTAACTGACACTAAGAAGAAACAGTATGTGACCTAACACAATCTTCCAACAATACCTAAACATTCATCATACCTACGCTCTTGGTCTTCTCACAAGTTTTAAAGGTTGTTTTCTAGTATTATTTTATTTTCTCTGAAATCTTGGTTTCTCTAGGACAAAGTGCAAATATCAGTATTAAGAGTAACTTTATAAAAAGTAGTATCACTGCTACTTCTCTACAGCTTACCTGGAAAACCATCTATTATGGCAAATTACAGCTATAACCACTGCATTTAAGCTAAAAGTCATTCAAACTTCATGCTGTGCTTTAATTTGTTGCTCTATTTAAATCAATTAAGTGCTAAATTCAGTTATTAGGGTGATAAGAAACAAATGTAGTACCACTAGGAAAATAATTTCTCCTTATTGTGGATTTACCAAGTTGAATTAGTCTAAGGATAAAAATCTCTACATGTTGTGAGGCAAGTGAAATTTCAAGTACATGTAGGCTCTCAAAAATGTTGAATAGATCATAAATAATCTCTCTGTGAGAAAATAAAGAAAGAGCAAAAGTCCTTAGAACAGTGTGGACGAGGATCCATATTGGTGTCCTTGGACTCTCAGCTTCCATTTGCAACCTTCTTATTTCCACGTAAGGAGAGACTGACCGTGGCAGCTCCTAACTAGCTATTCCCACATTTTTTGGGATGACACATGGAGAGCATCTCTTCCACTCGCAGATGAATAAGTTTCCCTGATCTGAACCTATCCAATGGGCCTATCTATATACATAAAAGCCTAAGCGACCAAACAACCGAACGACCGGTCACTATGGTGGGCAATGACCACCAGGGGGCAGACACTCAATGCAGGAGCTGCCCCTTGATGGTCAGTGCACTTCCATAGCCAACCTCCCCCCCACCCTGATCAGCCCCGATTGCTAGCCAGGCCAAGGGATCCCACCTGTGCACGAATCCACGCAACAGGCCTCTAGTATCCAAATAGAATCATTACTGCCTGTTTCTCAGTTGCCCTGCTCACCACTCCCTCTCACTGAGGAGCCCAGAAAATCTCTGTACTGTCCTATTTCTCTCATTGAATTTGTTTGATTAAGGTGTCATTGCATATGCAACTTACTCATCTATTCATAAAGCTATATAGTAGTTTTACTTTTTTGTCTCAAGACTATAAAATACATCCTTTAAAGTAAAAATGTAATGAGCATATGCCAATTAGATTCTTCTCGGGATAATTCAGCATTTCTCAGTCTCAGCACTATTGTTATTTGAGGCCAGATGGTTCTCTGTTGTGTGTATGTGGTGGTGGTGGAAGGAAGTGCGCTGGACAGTGTAGAAAGTTTAGCAGCACCCCTGGGTGCTTGGTCACTACTTCTTAGATGTCAGTAGCAACAACCTCCCACTGCCCACCATTTGTAACAATCAAAATGTCTCCAGAGATATTGCAAATGGCTTTGGGAAGGCAGGATCCCCCACATGAGAACCAACGGGCTAATAACATTTCTACTCTAAGTTCTTATTTTCATTTTTTTAAACAAAGAGGGGGAGGAAGGAGACAAGGAAATAAACTTTATTCTAGATTGCCAGGACCTATTATAATAATGAACTCTCAAAATCTAAAGATCTACTTCTCTGCTAATCACATCACTCAAAAATATCTTACAACTATCTTTTTAAAAATAACTCCTTTAAACCAAAGTCAGTAAATACCAAAAATGTTCAATTATGCTCAAACTACTGGAAGGCATCGTAACAAACATCTCCAAAATCAGCATGAAATGAATGTCAGCATCACTGAACTGTCCATGATGAAAATTCAGTTTTACTTCATGCTACATAATTTTATGAATTATTTACCAGTCTTATTTTTAAATTGCTTAATGTGAATCTTCTTACTTAAGAATAAACTTCTCTACTCTTGAGTCTCATTTTTGAAAATATAATCCCCAAGACTTAGAACTTTTTTTTTTTACATGATTCAAGGAGAAAATTAATTAATCACTTAAACTGATAGCTAGAGCTACAAGAGCGAGAGCCAGAAAGTTCAAATTTATATAGTGGTGTTCCCCAAAGGAGTAGAAAAATATTTTATAGCAATTCCAGGTTTTGAGCAGACACACATGGAAGGCTGATTCCATTACCTGCAACATGAGCTCACAGTCTTCTCTCCCAACAAAAATCATTTCCCGTGGCAGCCTGTGGCGAGTGCCTCCACTGCTCACCAAAAACCAGGATGTTAAGCTCATTTTTTGCTTAGCTTCGAAGTCTTTGGCAAAGCTACATCATCCTGCAGAGAGAGTCAGAAAAACACACATTCAGATATTTTTAGCTTTAGCATCCAATCACCAAACCCTGTAAGTAGGGCTAAGAATAGAATTGCATTAAACATTTACCCCTGACTAAACACAGTCCACAGGTCCCGGGAAACAACATATTTACCAAGTTCTCATTAGTCAAGTAAGTCCAGAAACTCTACTAAGAATTCAATTAAAAAAGAAGACATTAGGTAATTAAGTATGCAGTCAACTTAATAAACTTCTTTCACTTTCCTGAAGGGCTTTGAGCATCACTTATAAAGGTCTGTAATCTTCAAGATAATGGTCACATTAGTGTTATTTTAAACTCAGTCAACACTAGCAATATTGCACAAGTAAATGTCTAACTTACAAATGATTTGAGAAAGACATTCTAAATTCAAATGAATATTTTTATATCTGATTAAGAACTGACAAGGGAAACCAAAGAAATTGCTGATTTTCTGCCAAGTGTAGATTACTGAATACATTCTCAAAGACATCAATTTCAATTTCTCTGGCCTTACAGAAAGTTTACTTTCTTTATACATTTTTTTCTAAAGCAACAATTCTTAAACCTTTTGTTCTTGGGACTCTTTTGCACTCCCAAACAAAGGATCCCAAAAAGAATTTTGTTTATATGAATTTTATATGTTTACCATACTAGAAATGAAAACTGAGAAACTGGTTATTCATCAATTTGTTTAAAATAATCAATTTCATGTAACTAACATTTTAATAAAAATTATTTTTTTCAAAAGAAAAATAATTAGTGAGAAAAGTAGGACTATTTTTTATTTTTAAAATATATATTTTTATTGATTTCAGAGAGGAAGGGAGAGGGAGAGAGAGATAGAAACATCAATGATGAGAGAGAATCATGAATCAGCTGCCTTTGCATGCCCCCTACTGGGGATCGAACTGTGACCTCCTGGTTCATAGGTTGACGCTCAACCACTGAACCACGGGGTATTTTACATTTTAAAAAATCTCTATAATGTCTGACTTACTAGTAGATTTTCATATTTGCTCAGCATTCAATCTATCATATACTGTTTAACTTGAAATACCTGCCTTCATTCTGTTGGGAAAGGAAAGTTTATTTTATTTATTTTTAAAAATATGTTTGTATTGACGTTAGAGAGAGAGGAAGGACGCAGAGAGACATTGATAATGGAGAAACATGGATTGGCTGCCTCCTGCACACCCCCTACTGGGGATTAAGCCCGGGCATGTGCCCTGACCAGAATCAAACCGGTGACCTCTTGGGTGACCTCTGGAGCCACAAAGGCCAGGGCAGAGAATTTAATAGTCTTTTCATATAACTGTAGATAGTTTTCTTTGATGCTACATCAAAACTTCACAAGTCATAGTTTCATGAAAGTTATTTATAATATGGAATATGAAACTTTACATAATCTATGTATATAAAAGCCCCTAAACGACCGTTGGACTGTTTGCTATGATGTGCACTGACAGCTAGGGGGCAGACGTTCAATGCAGGAGCTGCCCCTTGGTGGTCAGTGTGCTCCCACTGTGGGAGTGCTGCTCAGCTGACCGAGGGGAGCTAGATACAGGCTCACAGCTGGCTGGCGCAGCCGGGAGACAGCAGCAGAGCAGCAGCGAGCCTACCCAGCGGCAGCAGCGACAGGCGCAGCGGGGCCAGGATGAGCAAGAGTGGCAGGCGGTGTTGGACTGCCAGTTTCGGCCTGATCCCTGCAGGCCATGCTGAGGAACCCCACTGGTGCATGAATCTGTGCACTGAGCCTCTAGCATGTTATATGAAAATCCATCTTCTACTCTAAAGGGATTTTTTTTTAATATCATGCATTAGTCACTTGGATAATATTGGTTCCCCGAGTTCACAGATCTTCCAAATAATGGCACAACATATAATTTAAAAACATCACATCCATACATTTCATCATTAATCTCATTAAAAATGTTTTTAAGTACAGCAGGTCCTGGAATAGCATCGTTTATTTGTTATAAATGTTGATGAGATGCCATAAAAACTTAACTTCTGCTTGTATCAATTAGCCTATGGTAATATTGGCTTTGTTAGATGCTGCTTTGCTTTACATCACAGAACTGATCTATCTGCTACATTAAATTAGGACTTACTGCCCTAACCGGTTTGGCTCAGTGGATAGAGCGTAGGCCTGCAGACTGAAGGGTCCGAGGTTCGATTCCGGTCAAGGGCATGTACCTTGGTTGAAGGCACATCCCCAGTGGGAGGTGTGCAGGAGGCAGCTGATCGATGTTTCTCTCTCATCGATGTTTCTAGCTCTCTATTCCTCTCCTTTCCTCTCTGTGAAAAATCAATAAAATATATTTTAAAAAAATAATTAAAATCAGGACTTACTGTTAAGCTCATGGTAGCAGGATCGAGTTTTCTGAAATTCTTATTTATTTACTAGAGGCCCGGTGCACAAAAATTTGTGCACTCGGGGGGGAAGGGGGGGGTTCCCTCAGCCTGGCCTGTGCCCTCTCGCAGTCTGGGACCCCTTGGGAGATAACGACTTGCTGGCTTAGGCCTGCTCCTGGGTGGCAGAGGGCAGGCCCCATCCCTAGGTGCAGCCCCTGGTCGGGCTCAGAGCAGGGCTGATTGGGGAGTTGGGGCGCCGCCCCCTGTCATGCACAGAGCAGGGCGGATCGGGAGGTTGCGATGCCACCCTCACTCACGCTCAGGGTAGGGCCGATTGGGGGGTTGGGGCACTGCCCCCTGTCACACTCAAGGCAGGGTCGATGGGGAGGTTGCGGCGCCACCCCCTGTCACGCACAGAGCAGGGCCAATCAGGGGGTTGGGCGCTGCCCCCTGTCATGCACAGAGCAGGGCCCATCAGGGGGTTGGGGAGCTTCCCCCTGTCATGCACAGAGCAGGGCCCATCAGGGGGTTGGGGATCAGGGGGGTTGGGGCGCCACCACTGTCACACTCGTGGCAGGGCCGATGGGGAGGTTATGGCTCTACCCCGTCACACACAGATCAGGGCCCGTGGGCAGGGGGGGGTTGGGGGGCTGCCCTCTATCACCCACAGAGCAGGGCCGATCAGGGGGTTGGTGTGCTGCACCCTGTCAAACGCAGAGGCGCAGGGCAATCAGGGGATTGGGGAGCTCCCCCCTATCAGGCACAGAGGAGGGCTGATCAGGGGGTTGGGGTGCCTTCCCCTGTCACGAACAGAGTAGGGCGGATAGGGAGGTTGTGGCCCCGCCCCCTGTCACTCACAGAGCCACAGGGCGATCAGGGGGTTTGGGCGCTGCCCCCTGTCACACACAGAGCTGCAGGGCGATCAGGGGGTTTGGGCGCTGCCCCCTGTCATGCTGATCCCGGTGCCGGGAGCCTCGCTGCTCCGCTGATCCCGGTGCTGGGAGGCATATTACCCTTTTACTATATAGGATAGAGGCCTGGTGCATGGGTGGGGGCTGGCTGGTTTGCCCTGAAGGGTGTCCTGGATCAGGGTGGGGGTCCCCACTGGGGTGCCTGGCCAGTCTGGGTGAGGGGCTGAGGGCTGTTTTCCGGCTGGCGAGTGACTAAAGCTTCCAACCGCTCCTTGTTTTCTTCTCTTTTTTTTTTTTTTTTTTTGGGCCAGCTTTAGCTCTGAGGCCTCGCTGCTGAAAACATAGATACAATGTTGCGGTCCGAGCCCGGCTGAATGGAAGCCCTTTTCTGGGGTTTTGTTTAGCTTCTTATTTGCAACATAGTATATAGTTGCTTAGAGTTGCAACTGAGAGGCTGGCAAGTGAGGCGGGGAACGTTGGAGTCTGCAGCAAGCAAGCCTCCCTGCTCGCTTCAGTGCCTGGCTGCCGGCCGCCATCTTGGCTGACAGTTAATTTGCATATACTCACTGATTAGCCAATGAAAAGGGTAGCGGTCGTACGCTAATTACCATGTTTCTCTTTTATTAGTGTAGATTTTTAAGTATCTTTATTGATTTCAGAGAGGAAGGGAGAGGGAAAGAGAGATAGAAACATCAATGATGAGAGAGAATCATTGATTGGCTGCCTCCTGCACTTCCCCCAATAGGGATCAAGCCCACAACCCAGGCATGTGCCCTTGACCAGAATCGAACCCAGGACCCCTCAGTCCATAGGCTGATGCTCTATCCACTGAGCCAAACCAGCTAGGGCTCTTATTTTTTTTCTTGAAAGCTCAAATTTTATTGGCCAAAAAAATTCTATCAATTCTTTTTTTTTTTGAAGTGAGATGCTTACTTCAAATATCGGAACTGCCAACTTACTTGGTTCCACTTAAGATTTTTCAACTTTGTGCTTTAAGATGGTACAAAAGCAATACACATTCAGTAGAAATAGTACTTAACATTTTTAATTTTGATCTTTTCCTGGGCTAGTGACATGCAGTTCGATAGTCTCTTGTGAGGCTGGGCAGCAGCAGCCAGCCTCAGCTCCCAGCCAGTGATGAAAAGGATAAACAATGGGTACTCTACAGTGTACTATGTTGACAGCGGTTTTTGGATACTATGTTTTGTGTTTTTACATCCCATCATGCCTATAAAACATGTCTTCTGCTTCTGATGACAAAAAGGAGGAAGGCACTTACTCTTGAGATGAGACTCAAGGTAATTGTCCAACTGTAAGATAAAATAAATGTTCTGAGCATGTTTATGGCAGGGTAGGCTAAACTATGATGCTGGGAAGGTTGGGTGTATTAAATGCATTTTCAACTTACTATAGTTTCAATTTACAAAGGATTTGTCAGGATGTAACTCCATCTTAAGTTGAATCACATCTGTACTCAAGTGTACAAATCATAGTTTGTCTGTCAATCAGTGTTTGAAGTAAAAATAGTGTTCTATGAAAAGTGGCTAGTTCAGCTTGCAACTCAAAATAATGACACAAATGCTTTTCCTTGAGACCACCATGGTCTTTGATACATAGTATAAGTGTTTTATATGTGCCTTCACTTAGTCATACAGAATATGAAAAAGATGTGAGTCAAAGGTCAAGATTAAATAAAATTAAGCATTTTAACCACTTCATCAAGGACATTCTCAAGTGAAACCGGCTTTTTTTCTTAACTTCGAGGACATGGCAGTGAAGAATACAATCACTATCAGTATAGTTTGGTCCTAATGTCATGATCTATGCTAAAGAGCCAGCAACTTTACGCACCACTGCTTTTTGTATTATCAGTTCAAATGTCACTACAATAAGAAGGGAAAATAATGTTTTGATATTATTACAAAAATAGTTTTAACTTCATAACCTTGAAATGGTCTCAGGGACTCCCAGAAGCCTATGGGGCTGAGCTTTGTGAACTATTGTCCTAGAGGACGTGGCTATGTCATTAAGAACAAAAACCTTGGAGTCAGACAGATGGACAGGTAAGAGTCCGACTCCTGCCTCTTCCACCTTTTATTCTGCATGACTGTGGCAAGTTCCTTAGCCCACATCCCTTAGTATTCTCTCCTATAAAATGAGAATAATGATAGTATCTACTCAATAGTTTTTTCTTATGAAATAAAAAAATAGAACTTGTAAATATTTTTCCATAAATTAGTACATCCCATTAAAATTTAATTAGAAGCAAACTATACTACAATGAAATGAGATCTTCTGCAATAAGAAATATATCTATACATTAAAGCAAAATCCTATAAAATGTAGAATTCTGTGTTAAGGCAAAAATCCTATGTATTATAAAATATCTACACATTCATGAAACAATGGATTTCAACAAAACAGGCAAATATTTTCTATAAGGCTAATAACACTCTTATGCCCTTTTAGCTTATGTAACTGATAGGGTCAATTTATGTGGATTCTTAAATCTTTCACTAAATACCTAACTCCTCAGCACAGATGTTCTTAGTCTTCCATCTGTCTACTTTCTGTCAAACTGGCTTTTAGGATTTCATATGTACTTCCTGGCCAAGCAACAGAGAATCAAAAATATTTACCCAAGAAAAAAACCTCCAATCTAAATATAGTATAATTTGCATACTGTGTTTTCGAGGCAGAACAGTTTTAATACATGACACTAATAAGTAGGTCGATAGCTTTATAATTATT